TACGTCTCGCTTACCGTGCGGCTAAGAAAATTATAGTCTTCCTTGTCGTGCGAAAGGCATAACTTCAATTGGGTCCGGTGTAGGAAAGTGATGAATATATATCTATGATGTATTCTTAAAATAGAATCTAATGATGTACCTACCTTAATACCAGGTTTTTAGACCTGGTACCGCACGGAAGTAATAAAATGTCTTCACAATGCGAAACCAGGTCGAAGCACCTTGTACCCTGCGCACCTGGTACCGCACCTGAAGTTGTAACTAAATGTTATTAAATAATATGTTTTCTTTAAATATAGCTTATTTAAGTATTTATGCACGTATGTCTTATTTGTAAAATATTTAGACTAAATTATTAAAACATCTTTGTTTGTTACTTTTTAAAATTTTTATTAAAACTTAATTTAAACTATCGATATTTGTATTTCACATCCCTAGAATACCCACCAAACTTCCCTACTTCAGTGCGGCACAGGGTGCATAAGCCTTGTATTTTGAATATAGCTATAATTTTTATACTAAACAAGTTATTCACGAACGCCTTCAGGTGTATGTCAATAAATGCATTATTATTAATATTCAAAGAAAAAAAACACAATATCTATTAACATGAAGCCAAAAATAAAATTAATATATCTTAAATATTACAAGGTCTTTAAGCCTTGTGCCGCCACAATGTAAGTTTTAATACCAGGTTTACTGACCTTGTACCGAAGGAATGGAAAGTATTAGAAAGTTACTGCCGCAGCAAAGGTGTTAAGTGGTCTAAGACCAGTAAATTCATTTTGATCGAACGTAGTCCAGCAGAATGTTAGCGTAAATAGAAATTCTCAAAAGCCAGACTTCCTATCTCAATCCCAAGTCAGGGTCAACTCGATAACCTACTTTAGACTCCCAGCTTCATAGTTTAGACTTTGGAGCCCCTTAAAAGCTAACTACATTAAGTAGCTGTCAAAGCCAACAGCATTCTCCAACTTGAAATTGAAGGATTCGGGTAGATTTATTCAGCTTAAGGGTTAAAGCACACTGAACATAAAAGTTACGCGTAACTTTTTTACTTTAGGGCTCTCTTGTTAGGATATCATATTAGAGGAGCACTTAGTATAATCACATTTAATAACATTAGAAATCTCTAGAAATGAGATACAACTTTGACGTAATAAATAGGATTTAATACAACTGTAGAGTTTCATTTGCCTCCATATTCCAAATACTTTAATACTCGTATTAAGACTTAAACTATGCCCACTAACGTACGTTTAATTATTAAATCTTGAATATGTTCATTGTTTTGAATAGTTTCGCCGCAGGCCGCAGGGATTTGTTAGGGCCGGCTAAGTAGTTCGGCCCACACAATACCGGTCCTAATGAATTTAGCCAAACCGAACTATACTTCCACAGTCGATATTGTGCATGTACTTACTAAGTAACTGTTGCTATGCAAATATACTCGTATTACGTAATAAGAAACGTCAATATTAATTGTAGTTTGGCCTATCTAAATCGCTTGAATCTTTAAAACATCCATTCAGAATGCCAATCAAACGATACACACAGGAAAACTACCGTGACTATAGGTAATGTATGTAGTAGAGTCTCCAGATTTTTCTTTTAGAGTAAAACCCTAATATTAAACCATTCTACTTTTCATCACTTTTAATATACCTAACACAAGTCTCTCAACATTCAACATTTAGAAAGCTACTTTAATATCGCCACTATGTTACGTCGTAGGTGTAATCTTTATCCCAAACGTGCTTTAACTCAAGCATTGAATTAACATCCCTCTACATTTCCGCATGCGGAAAACTACAACTAGAAGTCGGATGTTACAAATGTCCACTCTTACACCTATTTGCTAACCAAGTGTGACAAATACATTGCCACGGTTTGTTTAGGACGAATTCGGTGACATGAATAATGCACGTCTAGAGAGAACCTTGCGAATAGATAGCGCATTGAGATGAGACTAAAGTGCAATCTTATTGCCACAATAGTAAAAAAATATGGATGCAGTTAAAAATAATCGCAGTATTAGGTTAGCTTTATTAAGTAAAGAGGTTAAATATTTTAATTATTTTTGGAGTGTTTAAAATATCTATGGAGTGACAAAAATTCCATGAGTAGACGGTTTTCAAATCCATTGAAATATACTATAGTATTATATTATCTGTGATACTATAAAAACCTTAGATGAAATTAGTCGTTAATTCCTCTATGACTAAAACACTGACATCTGAAATATTAATTAACAACATAAATAACAACCATGTTATGTTCTGTAATAAGAGAGCGTACAACATCAGTGGCCACCTCTTTATCCCAAACATGCTTTAACATTTTCGAGTGAAACCATTTTCAGGGGATGTTTAGTTAAGTAGTTGCTTATTAGTTGGTAGAAGCACTGAGCTTTTAAGCGATATCTACAATGCAAATTGGTCTATATTGTCTGCGTATAGAGCTTTCTGTGGACGAACCAGCAACCTAATTGGATTAGTGTTGAATTATGTACCCACTTAAACATGGCGCGTGGTGTAGCTCCCTGGACGCTGTCTGACTGTCTCGCCATAAACATTGCAGTTTAATTAAATGATAAGTGTTCATGCGGCTGAATTTTAATTCATTTTGTAAGTAGATATGTTGCAGTCAAAACTCATAATCGGTCAAAACCACTTTTGACTGCAGAAATCAGTCAAAAGTAGTTTTGTCTGATGCCCTTGGTCAATGGTCAATATCATTTTTGACTGTTTTTTCCTAATATTTTTAGTTAGAGTTAATGGTCAAAGTCACTTTTGACTGGAAAAATCAATCAAAAGTAATATTGAACAAGGGCAAGGGATTTTCGCAGTCAACAGTGGTTTTGCCCAATTATGAGTTTTGACTGTAACAGACACCTACATGTTAATAACTGTGTGTATAAGCCTAAGATGTTTCAACAAACAAAATAAGACTCTAGGTTTATACTAGCAAAGTGTATTCTCTTTGTTGCTAGATAGAGATGTGCTCTTGCTGTTTAATTATTAATTAGGGACAAAACCACCGCACGTATTCATTTAGCTACACGAAACACTGAAGCCAAGTTTGAAGACGAAAGTACACCTATAAAATTTAATACGGACCCCTTATGTTACATTGTGTAGGGTTTATAAGCCATACAAGTACCTACTCCGTCACGGACGGAAGGAGTTAAGTGGCCCTATTTTATGGCATCTGCCAAAAGTAAGTAGATAGAATAAATTAGTATATTTTTGGATGTATCTCAAATCATAAGGATTTTTTCTTAATGTGCAGAGATCTTTCTCCTCTACCATCAGTTAGTTAGTCTAACAATTATAGAGATTGCTCTCACAAGCCTAGAATATTCATTTGAACTGCAAAAGTACTTGCTCGATTTTTTAATCGACCATAAATTTTATATTTAATCAAACATCTTTAACTACCCGCAAAACTATTGCATGACTTCTAAGGCGCTAGTAGATCAGTCGTTCGTTATAGATTTAAATTAGAAGGAAAGATTGGGAAACCATTAAATGGACCTGAAATTTTCAGGAACATAATTTATAAGTTAATAATATAATTCACATTGAAAACTTTCATTCAAATAGATCTACGTATGGAAATGCCTGCACTTCCTGCGGTAATCGGCGGGCGTTCGTAGAAATAGAACGCGGGTTCTATTCCCGGGTCGCGCTAATGACCACGTAAATATCCCCCAGTGACGACCGACTTGACTAACGACTGAGATTATTTTGGATATGGAAACGTTATCTTTATTAGGCGAAAACTTTTTTATATGTCTAAATATTTAATAAGTTTTTGTGTGAGTTTAAGGTATTTTTTATAAAAACCAAACTAGGAAATACATACTCCCATAGGTCGATAACTTCTAAAAAGCTTGGACCTACTTATTTATTTTTAGTTACTAACTCTACAGGGTACTTAGCTTTATTTTAACCACAAAATACCTAACTAACCTCTCGCCATTTAATAACCATGGGATTAACAATCCATTACAAATTCTACCAGAAGTAACTGACAAAGATCCTAACTAAATAATATCACTGAAGTTTAATAGCTTCTGAAAGGTGGGTGGAAGTGGGTGGATGAAGTAAATAAAGACCCCAAAAGGCCTTACAATGAATTTATCCATTGTACAACAAAATATAAAATACAAGTAAGTACTTATCTGTAATTAAATAAGGGTGCGCGTAGGTACGCTTGGGAACGCAATAAGTTTCAGAGGACAGCAAGTAGAGCCAAGTCAGTAAGTTCCGAACGTGGTCGGATTATTTTTAAGAAGCATTAGAATACCAATTGAACCCATCGAGCATACTAGATAGGGTATCTTCTACCCTAGTCTGTCTAGTCTAGTCACTTATCTGGTTCACATCTTGGCTTACGCGCACCCTTTTAAAGTAGACTAAATTAGTCCATATAACTAACTCCTTGAGAGCCTACTTGATTTGCACTCTAAAAACGTATTGCTCTTAAGAACCCTCGCATCTGACCTACGCAAATTGAAAACTTGACCTTTATGATAAACGATGCGAAGTCTGGCTCGCTTCGATGGGGTTAACAAACTACCCTCCTGTTTTTGACTTGACTTTATTATGAAATCAATTTATTATAAATTATTAATGATATCCCATTTTTATAATAAAAAAGTGTCAGACGCAATAAATAATTTGGTACCTATTAGATATTGTTTTTACTCTACTATCAACCTTTAACCTATTACTTATAAGCGTGATAAATTTTATTTTAAATTAATTAACCCACTTTTAATACACGAATATTTTAATATTTGCTCATAAGTACACTAGTACCTAAACTAATATAATATTTTTTATTTTTTAATAAGATTACAAAAACATTTTAGTCTGAAAAACATAGAGTCGCGCTTCATTCAAAGCGTGACTGAATTTTGGCAACGTAAGAGCTCTACGCGAAAACTTACTTACTTAGGTAAGTAGGTACAAGTAACTTTGTTTATAACTTACCTTCGTCCATGGTGAGGGCCTGACCAGCTGCCACCACGGCAAGAAGCGCTAGCGTCCGCCACATGACTTTGCTAGCCATGTCTCCGCTGACAATAGAGAAATATATTTTATAAATTAGTTCAGTAACAGTTCTTACCTATCTACTTACTTACTTTTCAAAGCGTAGACGTTTAATTTTATGAGAACCAAAGATTGTTGCGACTAATTTCTGCGAATTAATTTGTATAAAATTTTAAATAGCGTCCAAGTTTGACCAACTGAACATAGATAAGGTGCTGTAGCAGGAGCCAGAAGAAAATAAAGATCAATTCCCGCCAATTTTTATATTATGTTTTTTAAACTTCTCGTAAGTATTTAATTGGCCAGTGATAAAGTTACAGAAAAGACGACAAAAAACACAGGTTGAGCACAGATTATAATAGTAATCATAGGTATTAGTTATTTTATTGTTTTATTTTATACCCAACTAAACCTAAGACTAAACCAAAACACATCACATTACATAAAAATCATCACAAGACAAAATAAAAAGTTACCGCGTATTCCGCGTACCGATTTCCCGCGTAAATTGTTTGTACCGCGAAGCGACGAGAGCGCGTGCGCGGTGTGCTTACGCGCTTCTCGACTGGCCCGATTGAGATACACACAAGCTGATGCCAATGAATGGCCAGTTATCACAAAATTTATGTAATTAATTTCATTATGCCGCTTAACCTCGACGCCTACATCATCCAATAAAGGAATAGTGTGAACTTAGTCAAAGCTCGATTGAATTTTAATATTAATTTTCACATTTTATGTCTAATCACCATGGGTAAGGTAGGTGAAGCCCTACCCAAGTCAGCTGAAAGTATTCCAGAATATAAAATATTTAACAGCCTTAGATATTTAAGAAGTTAACAGCTATTTTCAAACACTTTATTTTTTGGTATCCCCGTTTAACTCTTTCTTTATCCTTTTTTCACATTTTTTTTTCCAAAATTATAAGTCTCCAAAACCATTTGACTTCTAGAGGAAATTTCATCAAAATTGGTTCAGCATTTTGTGTGCAAAGCAAACCACCTAACCAACTGACAGCATCTCGATATTTAATTTAAAGTTCGCGCCAATAGGTTTTATGACGAGTACATAGAGTACATGATAAATAAAAATGAGAATAAAATATCTTAGTGATATCGAAATTGTTTTACATTGCAATCAAAGATACATTTACTCAAAATTCATGTAAAATTAAAATTATTGGATAATGATAATACGCAAATAACAATATTCAATACCGTTATTTTACCGTTCATGTCTAGCTTTATAACCACAAACACGATAGAATCTCATAATTTTCTTTATGTTGGTAACGACGTTAAAAAAAAAGAAATCATCAGTTTGTCTATGTCAATGTTTGAGTGATTTGCAGTGTTGCCAGAAGGTTACTTTTGTAACCTTTTAGGTTACTTTTGAACTGCTGTGGTTACTTTTAGGTTACACTAATGAAAAGGTTACTTTTAGGTGATTTTTCAGAAATAATAATTGTAAAATTAACTTACAGGTTATTCAGTAAAAAATATTAATAGTGGCAATTTAAAAATTATGTCATAAAGTGCATTTAAACTTGAATTTGATTTATTATTTGTTAAAAAAAATGAGTTTTAGCGAATGTTTTTCGATAATAAAACGCAAATCCATGAAACGTTTTTATACGACTGGTCACTTTTCGAATTTAGATAATCAATTTTGTATTCATTTTCCATCCATGAACAACCTTACACAATCNTTTGATTCAAAAAGGTTACTTTTTTTTATATTTCTGGTAATTTCTGACTAGACCCGACTGGCAACACTGGTGATTTGTCTGCAATAGTAAATGTCATTCTAGTATTTTTTGAGCTCAATAATATCAGGATGGCAGAGAATAGAGAGGAAATTCTTGCAAATTTTCAGGTAAATACGTATTGACTTATTAGTTTCATTATCAATTTAAAATATTTATTGTTGAATTCGAATCTGTGAAGGTTATGTCGTGAATAACAACAGTGACTAGGATTCTCCTTTATCTCTTTGTACTTTTCACTTGAAGATATTTGGAATGGTTTTTCTAGAAATTTATTCAATTCCCGTTAAGTGGGCTGAAGTTCTAGCTGTCCTGTTTGTGTGGAAATGAGCGTGATGTAACTTTAAATCCAGCATCCTTTATTCGTTCTTTGTGCATAGTTAATTTCTTCGTAGAAACAAAGTTACTGCGTTACAAGGTAAACGTCGTTAACTTTACTACGCTCTATTATTGCGCCCTAATTAACATTATCAAGATACTTTATATGTATTTCCTGATATCTTGTAGTGTAACAAACTGACCCTCCATGGTGTTTTATAGGGAATAACAGCCATAGAAGATGTTGCAGAAGCAATATATCACCTGGAAGAAGCCAACTGGGACTTGCTTGTAAGTAGAAACCTTTGTGAGACTATATTTTTACTATTTTCATTTTCCTCCACTGCAATCTGCAATGTCATCATCCTTAGTAAAATCAAAAGGTTTACAAATCATGGTGTTTATTACTAGCAATAGTAATGTAAACAAAGCAATGCATACACATGATATTTATCCTTCTAAATGTGTTCATTTGTATCTGCCATTATGAACATTTATGTTAATTTTCGAATCAACAAACCTAAAGAAATATCATTAACCTCTCCTATGCTTTGTCTCAGATCTGTGCAACCTCCGTCAACTGCTATGTCTCAGATCTAAGACAAGACTACTTTGTCATTTTGAAACATCATTTGAAAACCGTAGCAGTTGGCGGGTGCAGTTTTGCGCGGCTCAATAGCACGCCAAAGGTTAAATAAGTAAACCTTATATCATAATTGACCAGTCTGGACGGGTAATTGTAAAATTATTTGATATTATTTATTACCCAAGTCATAAAGAACAAGATTTATTTTGCACACTATCATAAAGATAAATTATAAACAACAAAGGGGAATCAAATTTATTGTTACTATGTAATTTGACATTATATTTTATACTTGTAACATGTTTTTAATGAATGCAATCATTTATCTGGCTTCCATTTCCGTTGCATTATACTAATCCATTAACCCATTTTGCTAAAAACATAGTTCAGTATTGATCTTTCTTATTTATAAGCAGGGTTCGAGGATATATATCAAAGGATATATATCAAGATATATATCGGATATACAACGTGTCCCAAAATTCAAGGATAAGCCGGCGCCGCAGGACGGACATAGTCATGACTACTTTAGGAAAAATAAGAAAAAAAATCTATCTCAATTATTTTTTAAGTTACACAATAAATTATGAAATTCGTCGAAAATTTACACCCCTTATGATATTTTACATTACCACGACCACAATTTTTCAAATACTTCTATTTTTTTGTTTGTATCGGCAACTTAAGTAGTGCTGCTGTCCTCTCCAATTCTTAAAACCCCCAGAATCTTTGCAGTTTNTTAAATTTGACTTATTACTTATTAATCAATAAACTTAAATGAGAAAAATTCAATAAAAATAAAGAAAAGATACCAATTGAAATAATTATAAAATTATTTGTTTTCACCCGGTGTAAACACCCACGGGTGGAATGAAACGGGTTTTTATTGGGTTTTTACCCGCATGTGGGTTTTTACCCGGGTGGAAACCCATCTCTAACTGTACCGTGCTACTGTGAAATATTATCTCCTATAACACCGGTCGACAAAAAAAATTTTTTTTNTAGATAATGTCCAGGGTCCTGATGATGAAGTCAAGAGGTGGCCAGGAGCTGGACAAAGGAACTCCTAATCGAAATGGCGAAAGATTATCGAGTTTGGGTTCGTTGGATTTGACTTCCCGAGCACTTGGAACATGAGATTGAGAAACATCTAAAAACTTTTTTAAAAACAAGCATTAATGCGAAATTTTACGAAAGAATTTAACGATAAAAATAATTGTATGCAAGGTTAAAATAATTGCGAAAGTTTGTAGCGCAAACAGAAAAAAGAGGAATAAATTCCATGCGCGATTATAACTTTATTTTAAACTTTTTAGTTGTTTCTCAATCTCATGGCCCAAGTGCCCGAAAAGACAAACCCAACGAACCCAAACTCGATAAGCTTCCACTATTTCGTTTAGGAGTTCCTATGGCCAGCTCCTGGCCACCTCTTGACTTCATCATCAGGATCCTGGACATCATCTAGCACCAAAGTGCTTGAAAAGACAAATCTAACGAACCTTAACTAGATGCAATTCCGCCGTTTCATTTAGAAGTTCCTATGGCCACCTCCAGACTCCATCCAGCTCAATGATACCATAATATTGCATTGTCATCGTACTTACATAAGTATACCAAATTTCACCTCAATTGGTTGAGGATCCGCAGAAGTCTTACTTGTCGAAGGAGGACCAACTTTGTGAGAGTTATTTTGTCGATAATCATTCTCGTAACCATGAAGGTAGATTTGTGGTGCCCTTACCTTTCGTCGATCCCACAAATAAACCTGTCTTTGTGAATTCCCGTGAAATTGCGCTTAAGCGCCTTTTCTCATTAGAACGCAAATTGAACACTAGTCCTGAATTAAGAGCTGAATATGTCGCTTTCATGGAAGATTATAAAGAACGCGGTCATCTTGAAGAGGTTGATCCTCCTCCCACAAGTGAGGGTCGGTTTTATTACATACCCCATCACGGTATTTTACGCCCTGAATCTGTCAGCACGCCTCTCCGCGTTGTTTTCGATGCCAGCGCGAGAGATGGCAAAGCGGTCTCACTCAATGAAACCTTACTCGCCGGGCCGAAACTTCAGACTAATATTTTCGATCTGCTTATGCGCTTTCGTTGGCATGCTGTTGTTTTCACCGGAGATGTGAAACAGATGTATAGGCAAATATTAGTTCCAGAAGAAGACGCGGAATACCAGCGCATTTTGTGGCGTCCTAGTGCTGATGGACCAGTGCGTGACTATCGATTGTTAACCGTGACGTATGGAGTATCGTCGGTGCCGTTTCAGGCTCTTCGAACCATGGCTCAACTTGCCACAGATTCTGCTGAGGAGTACCCAGCTGGTTCCGCAGTCCTGTCACGTGACATCTATGTAGATGACGTAGTCACTGGTGCGAACTCGGTCGAGAAGGCTTGCTCTCTTCGGATGGAACTGACCAAAATATTGTCGTCGGGTGGGTTCCATCTGAGGAAGTGGACCTCTAACAGTAGCACTTTTCTCGATAGCCTTCCCCCTNCTACAAACGCCATACTACGTCGCACCTGAGGCAAGGAATTTTGGACTTTAATACAGTGAAAATAAATCACAAATTCTCTTCGAATTTAATAGGAAAGGTATAGTACTTCCTGCTACCTCATAATGGTAGCAGGAAGGCGCTGGATGCAGGCCGCTACCAACTGGCTAATCTGAAAATTATTGGGGAGGCGTTCACCTATCTTCAGCAGTGGACGTCCTGTGTCTTTAATGATGATGATTTAGACCTTGAGACAAAGAAATAAGGTTCAAAATATAGACAATAACTTCAAAAATCACTGTTCCAGGTACTAGGTCCAGAAAAGTACGACAAATCATGCGACATCTGGTCTATAGAATCTTAATACCCTTTGAATGGTTAAATTTCGACCTTAAGGCAAAGCAATAAGGTTCAAAACACAATTAATCACTTCAAAAATCACTGTTCCAGGTACTAGGTCCAGAAAAGTACGACAAATCATGCGACATCTGGTCGCTAGGTGTGGTGATGTACATACTTCTGTGTGGGTTCCCGCCGTTCTACAGCAACCACGGTCTTGCCATATCGCCGGGGATGAAGAAGGTATGTGTTGCCATATTCGAAAATGTTTTTGAAGTAATTTGAAGATAGTCTAATGAAATTTTTAGAGAAAATATTTGCTACTATAACGTTTCCGTTGTTTTATTTATTTATTAAAGACGCAAAACTATTTTGTGTCCTTAACTTAAAATACCAGCAGCAATTTGAAAATACGAGTAGTCTAATTAACGTTTTAGAGAAAATCTTTGCGACTATAACAACTTTTCCGTTGTTTTTTGTCCTTAACTAATTTAATCTTTTGAATCCTACTTCGTACTTTATGTGAAGAATGACTATTTTGGTTCTTTTTCTTCTCTCTCGCTTAAACCACTTGACTTGAACCGATTTAGATGAATTTTTTAATGGAATAGTTTGAAACACAGGAAAAGCATGGGTAGTTTTTATCCCGCTTTTTTAAGTGATTAAAAGTAAGCGCGTGATTTTCTGTGATTCTGTGACAGACTGAAATCCAGGGGCAAAGCTGCGGGCAAAAGCTAATATTAAATACATTTTCAAATTAAAATACATTTGTGCACTACTACTACTAATTTAACTAGGGGTGTCCTTTTAGTCCCTTTAGTTTTTAATTATTAAATTGATGGTACCTATATTTAGTCCGAAATAAAATCTTTTCTTTCTTTATTTAATGTAAATAAATATTTCCAGCGCATCAGGCTAGGTCAGTACGACTTTCCCGAGCCGGAGTGGTCGAACGTCTCTTCCGAAGCCAAGAATCTCATCCGCGGCATGCTGTCCGTGGACCCGGCCAAGCGACTTACTATCCACCAGGTATATACTTAAGGTCTAGTTTAGCTTGGAGACATGGTATGGTTTCTACAGACCTGGCTAAGCAACTTACTATACACCAGGTAAATACTTAAGGTCCAATTTAGCTTGGAGTGTTGGCAGGCTGTCTAATGACCCAGCCAAACTACTATCCACCAGGTATACATAAGGTCTTATTTCGCTTGACTTGAAACTGTCATATACCAGGAATCTTTCAGCCGATTCTGCTAATCTCCTTACTATCTACCAAGGTGTACGTAGGGTCCTCAACTCTTAGACCCTGCTAAAGGACTTACTATCCACCAGGTATACACATAAGGTTTAGTTTAGGTTGGAGTCTGGCATACTATCTGTTCGACCCCGCTAAGCGACTTACAACTCACTAAACAAACTTGTAAGGTCCTATTTCGCTTGGAAATTTTTAGTTTAGTCTCCACTAGGGTATAATATTGTCGTTTAGACCCTGCTAAAGGACTTAACTATCCACCAGGTATAAAAAAAAGTCCTATTTCACTTAACTTGAATGTATTGTTCGATACCATGAATATCTCAGCCGACCCAGCTAAACTACTTATTGTCACATAATTATTTAAATTCGTTGCGGGTCCAATGGCAGTTTATCTTTTCCCAGGACAAACTTGACCTTCACTGGTTGTGTTTTTATTTGCCAAGCTGTAGATCCTGGCTACACAGGAGTTGCAGCGGTGGGAACGAGAGGTGGGAATAGTCCCGAATTTTATTTTATTCTAATTTTGTCCACAGGTGATGGCCAGTCCCTGGGTGCGTCAATACACCCAAGTGCCCCAGACGCCGTTATACACCCACACATTACTAAGAGAG